ACAACTTGGGCCAGTGAAGCAGCGTCCTCCACAACTAGATTGAAGAACAAAACGACAGCAACTTGTCTGGTCCCCTTCCCCCAATTCCCCATCACTGTTCCCATCCCCCCAATTACCCAATAAAAATCTTTAAAAAAAAAATAAATAAAAAATAAAGAGGCTTGTTGCACATTCTCAGCGATCACAACAGCCACACCGGTGAGGTGGGCGAGGCGAAGAAATAAGTCTTGTTTTCTGAAACCCAGAAGCGGAAATGCTCTCCCCGAGGTATGAGGGGCCAGGGCCTGCCAGAGCCGTGCAGAGGCAGGACTCCGTGGTAAGCACCCTTTCAGGCCCTCAGCAGCCACCTGTTCTCACCTCCCTGCAGCCGGGGCGAGGGGATGGGGGGGGGCAGGGGACAGCTGTCTCTCTGAAAGGGCTTTCTGGAGCGAAGGAGACAGCATGCTGCCAGCACAGCGCCTGCAGGAGGCTGAGCACCCAGAAGCCCTGGTGTTCGGCCTCCCGGAAGCAGGGAGGCGGCACACCTGGGCTCTGGCCCCTGCGCTCTGCCTCCTGCGCTTCCAGACCTGGGATCTAACATCCGGTGAGGCCCTGGCTTCTCTGGGCATCACCGCCTGTCCTGACAGCGAGAGAACCACAAGATCACCTGTAAGAGCACTCCCTGCTCTAAAAACAGGGTCCCTTCTATTTAAATTCTCTTTTCCAGAAGCCAATGACACTGCCTTCAAGTGTGGCCAACAAAAACTGTTACGAGGAAGGCAGCTGGTATGGCTTAGTTCCTCTGTCTCCATTGACAGGAAATATGGTTCCTTTGTTAATGAATTAATTTAAAAAACCCCAAAAACCCAAAACTACATCCTTAAAAAAAATCTTTGTCCAAGTTTCCTGACTGCTATTTCAAGCAATTGTGCTGATGACTGATTTAATCCGCTGTCATGCCAACACTTCTTATAGGAACCATGCACTGATGTGTGCCGACTGGCACCGGTCACGTGGCTGTGGCAGGGTGCTGTGGAATGGGCACTGAGCGGACAGCCAGGAGACCAACTACACCTGCTCTAGGACCTCAGGCAAACGACCTAGCTTTCAGGACCTGAGTCTCCTCATCTGTAAAGTGAGGGCTGGGTTAGGCCTCCCCAGCACTCCCAGCACTGACCCCTCCAACTAGTCTGAGTCTCGACTGGTCTGAGTCGGGAATTCCTCATGTCTTTTCTGCTCATGAAGATTAAATAAAACAATGAATGGGAAACTGTTGAAAAGCAGAACACGCCACTTGTCAGAGAAGCTTGTCAGGGAGCTGAGCAGCTTAGCACTCTGCTTCATTAACAACATCAAGGGCCATTTAGACCGATGCCAATTTCCTCAGGCACCGGGGCTTCCAGCAAGCAGTGCTCCCAAGCCAAGGAGCTGCAACTCACTTTTGTGTCAGGAAAGGCTTGGCAGAAGACTGCACTGCAAGTAATGACTATGAAGCATCAACATTTGCACGAGTTCCTCTTTCCCATCACAAAGCCGATCAGTCATCCCCCATCACTGTCGCTAGTTTACACGCAGCACGAGCTTTTCAGTAGGGGCAGAACGGCACTGCGGACAGCCCTGGCTATGGATGCTCTCGGTGACTGCCACCACCTGACCATCACTTCCTGGTTTGGGGGACCCTCTTCCACTTCCACTGAATGCCACTTCAATGTCATCAGGCTGGATCTAGCTAATAACAGAGTTCATGATGAAAAAAGGGCCCTCCAGGCTGGCTTGGAGCCTATAAGCTGAAGTGCCTGTTTCTGACACACGTCACAAAGTCCTCCATACTAACAACAGGCCTGTGAATCTGCTGATCGTTGCTCCTCTGATGTCCACTCAGCTAACATCTCAGTGAACCTTCTCAGAGTCACTGGCTTGAAGGCACCTATCAGACCATGACTAGATCCAGCTTCGCCATCTGCCAGGCCCTCAAGGTCAAACGCCAGCTCCTCACAAAGCACGTTAGCTCTTCCAGGATCACCCAACCTCTATTACCCACTCTGCAATTTTTCCCACAAGGACCGGGAACAGTGTTCTTGATTGAGGTCCTGGCCAAGCTGGCTTCTGAGAAGAGACACTCATGAACCCTGCAGGGGCATCTGAGGGACAGACACCTGCTATCTCTGTCCACATCGACTGCAGCATGTACGACCCCAGGAGGCCAGGCCGCGGCCACGCTGTCCTTCCCTTCTCTGTACCTTGGCAGCCCACGCGTAATGCTTCTACAGTACAGAGCCGAAAGGGATGTCTTTCAGTGACCTGTTTATGGGGCTTTTCCACCACCCACCCGGCAGGTGGGGCAGGACTGTGTTTCTGTCACCTCTGCAGCCCCAGGCCAGACCCAGGCCTGGACCTGGACTCCTGCTGTATACATGGAGGACTACTGGATGGGAAGGTTGACTCAGGGGGAGCACAACACATTACAGGGACATGGCCTGACCTTGGGACACAAGGACCTAGACAATTCCCAGCTCTGTCCTTCAGCAGCAGCAGGACTCCAGGTAAATCTCTTCACCTCTCTACCTGGGCTTATTTCATCCCGGTAAGATGAGGTGACTGGTCCTTATTCTGCCGTGGCACCTCTGTTCCTAGCCCATGTTCTCCATCTGTGATTGACTGGTTAACTCTTACTTAGAAATGTTTTATTCTTACAGATACAGAAAACAGATTGGTGGTTGCCAGACGGAGGGGAGGGAAGATGGAGGGGATGGGGGACGGGGGATGAAATCAGTAAAGAGATCAAGAGGTACAAACTTCAGGGCCGGCCGAGTCGCACGATGGTTAAGATCTGGCTTGGGATGCCAGAGGGCCCCGGTTCGGATCCCACATATGAGGGCCAGTGACACTGCCCTCTACAGCTAAGATGCTGAACAACAGCTCAACCTGGAGCTGGGCTGCCATGAGTCGCTGGCAACGGCGTAGGCTGCAGCCCCTGTGGCCAGTGGGTTGCCATGGGCTACCGTGTGTAGCCAGCAGCCAGCGTGAGCGGCCAGCAGCCAGCGTGAGCAGCTGTCCAGAAGCTGGCGACTGATCTGCCTCCCCCGGGAAGAGCGCAATGATGGTGTCAACTTGGGCCAGTGAAGCAACGTCCTCCACAATTAGACTGAAGAACAAAACGACAGCAACTTGTCTGTTCCCCTTCCCCCAATTCCCCAGCGCTGTTCCCATCCCCCCAATTCCCCAATAAAAATCTTAAAAGAAAAAAAGAGGTACAAACTTCTAATTATAAAATAAATAAGTCATGGGGTATAATGTATTGCATGGGGAATACAGTCAACAATGTTGTACTAACTTCGTATAGAGGCAGACGGTAATTAGACTTATTGTGGTGATCCTTTCATGATGTCCTCTGCTGTACATATGAAACTAATATGACATTGGATGCCAATTATACTTCAATTAAAGAAAGAAATGTTCTACTCTTTGCGAATCAAAAGCAAAAAGTTCAGAGAGGGTTTTCTAAGTCAGATATTACAATTGGCACCCAAATAAAAAACAGTTCACAAAATACCTGGGAATATACACTCAGACAGACAAACTTAGACAAGTTTATGGGGTCTAAGACCATGGTGAAAATGTCACATCCAGGATATACGTCTAGAATAACCTCTTTTCAAAGACATTTACTGAGCACCTACTGTGTATTGGGTTCCTCACATTTACTATCATAATTTCCATTTTATTTTATTTTTATTTTTATTTTTTTTAAAAGATTTTTATTGGGTAATTGGGGGGATGGGAACAGTGATGGGGAATTGGGGGAAGGGGAACAGACAAGTTGCTGTCGTTTTGTTCTTCAGTCTAGTTGTGGAGGATATTGCTTCACTGGCCCAAGTTGGCACCATCATTGCGCTCTTCCCAGGCGAGGCAGATCAGTCGCCGGCTTCTGCTTCTGGACGGCCGCTCACTGCGGCTGCTGGCCGCTCACGCTGGCTGCTGGCTACATATGGTAGCCCATGGCAACCCACTGCCACAGGGACTGCAGCCTACGCCCTCGCCAGCGACTCACGGCAGCCCAGCTCCAGGTTGAACCGTTGCTCAGCATCTTAGCTGTAGAGGGCAGTGTCACTGGCCCTCATATGTGGGATCCGAACCGGGGCCCTCTGGCATCCCAAGCGAGTTTTTAACCATCGCGCCACTCGGCCGGCCCATAATTTCCATTTTAAATATGAGAGAACTGAGGCTTGGAGAGTGGCTCAAGGTCACCCGACAAGTAAGTGGCAGACCCCCTGGGACTCAGGTCTTTGTCCCACAGCACCCTGCCATCCCGCCCTAGGCCAGTATTCTGCCTTTTTAAAAATGCCTGCACCACACTTCCCAGGTTACAAAGTACTTTCAGATGCATTGTATCATTTAATTACCCAATTCTGTGAAGTACATAGGGAGGCTACCAACCACCATAGAAGGCTACCAACCACCATAGGGAGGCTACCAACCACCATAGAAGGGGGGCATTGAGAGCCCAGCGTGGGGGCCTTGCCCTGCCTCTCACAGCCTGGAGCTCTGAAGGAAAGTTCACCTTCCACAGTGTCCTCTCTGCTCTGCCAAACGTGGCCGCCTTCCTTTGAATTGACACTGATTGCTTTCTCGGTCTTGCAGTTAAAGGGAACATGGAGGGGGGGCCTTTGTTGTCAATAATCATGTGTATGTTCAATGACAATGCCACCATTTCTAAACACGTATTACACATTCATATATTATAAACATAGTAATAGCACCATGAATTTAGTGTGCTGTATATGGACCACATTAAACACACAGGTAGCGAAGAGCTAAATGGAGAAGCTCTGAGGAAGAACCTGTCCTCTGGGTCTCTCAAGTCCCCGGGAAGGTGTCTGCTTGGCCCTTTGGTGGAGGTGGGGTAACGTGAAAGCATATGGACAGGAAGGTCCACACAGAGGTTTACTTTCCTGGGAGTGAACTGTGATCCCTGATAGGAGTCAGGTTTGGTTTTGTCCAGGTGAGTTTCCTGAGGAGCAGGTGAGCAGCCACACTCCACGCACTCTGCCTGAATGCTTACAGTCAAAACACGGGGCCACAGGGAAACAGAAGTCATCCAAACACAGAGGAGAGGGTGTAGCCTGGTGCAGACCAGAGGGGCAGACACACGGCGTATTGGGAACCAGGAGTCAGGAGGAGTTCAAAAGAGCAAAACATACAAGAATGTTGAAAGTGTACAAACACAGGCGAGAAAGCAGAGAAACGGAAGGAGCTTGTGAGGGTCTGTGGAAGGGAACAAAGTGCTAGTAACAGTCCCCTTGTACTGAGCCATTTGCCAATTCTCTCTGTGCCAGAAGCGAGGGGACAGAAACCAGTAAGAACAGCGAAGTCACCATCTGGGAAGCCAGAGACAGCAGGGTGGGCAGATGCTGACTGAGTCCAGCGAGGAAACTGCTCACCAGCACCTTAGAGAGAGAGAGAGAGAGAGAGAGAGAGAGAGAGAGAGAGAGAGAGAGTGTGTACCTCACCGTTGTGTGTGTGTGTGTGTACCTCACCGTTGTTGTTTATTTAGAACCTTCCTACATGTGGTTTATTGAATACTTTCGTAAATCTAGTTCTTTCAAACACATTCTGCACCCACGTCATTAATTTTATTTAAAGTTCCACTTTAAGAAGCCTGACGAGGATTTTTTAAATTAGAAAATGACTGAATTTCATCGTAACCAACAGTGGAAAAGCTAGAAAAGCTGTAATTATGGGGTATGAGGAATTTTGTTTACAAAGTGTTTATCTGTGGGGGTCCTGGCCCCCATGGTTAACTTCGAAAAAATGCACTCTTCTTCCTTACCATCCTTTTTCCTTCAGGTCTCATGCTTATTTGATGTCCAGGTTAATGACTGTATTTTCTTTTCTGCAGGGTCAGTTCCGGTCCCCATGGGGAATGGCTGGAGGAGACAGTCCCTGCTAGTGAGAAATTCTGCATTTGGGAAAGGCAGCCTATATGAGGTCTGACAATTAAGTTCATGAACTTGTTGTAATGGTGTTGCTAACCTTTTTTTGATATCAGAGGGATTATTTATTATGAATTTGCACCAACTAGACAAACAGTTCACCAAGTTTACTATCTGGAAGTGCTGAAAAGGCTGTGTGAAAAAGTTAGACGACCTGAACTTTTCAGCAACAATTCATGGCTCTGGCATCACGACAATGTACCAGCTCACACGGCTCTGTCTGTGAGGGAGTTTTAGCCAGTAAACAAATAACTGTATTGGAACACTCTCCCTACTCACCTGATCTGGTCCCCAATGACTTCTTTCTTTACCCGAAGATAAAGGAAATATTAAAAGGAAGACATTTGATGACATTCAGGACATCAAGGGTAATATGACGACAGCTTTGATGGCCATTCCGGAAAAAGAGTTTCAAAATTGCTTTGAAGGGTGGACTAGGCGCTGGCATCGGTGCATAGCTTCCCAAGGGGAGTGCTTCGAAGGTGACCATAGTGATATTCAGCAATGAGCCATGCATGTAGCACCTTTCCTAGGATGAGTTCGCGGACTTAACTGTCAGACCTTGTATTCAAGGGAGCCCACAGGAAGTCATAAAAGTAATCATAACCCAAACCTGTCACCGAATTTCTAATCTTTGTGAGCATTACACACCCTTTATTTTACAGCATTACACCCCCCCACAGTGAAATCCCTGGGCATACGGGGTCCTAATTGTACCCAAGACCATTCCAGACAGCTCCCCACCCCAGCTGTGGCCTCTGCTGCATGTTTAAGGATCTCGGTGAAGTTCTAGTATTAGTCTTTTGAGCTTTTATTATAACCAGTTATTAAAGTTTTTATTATTAAAACTAGCTTATTGAAAAAAGTTTAAGGGTGCGAAGGGACAAGTGAAATCCAAGTGGGGCCAGCCCTGCTCCCCACATTCAGACAGTCACTGATGTGGGACTAACAGCCCTGGCTGTCCAGACCGTGTGGGCATAACCACAGGGGAAGTGGTGGTGGCCCTTTCTGCGCCCGGCTCGGTCACCGCTCCCGCTGTGACAAGGCAGGGCAGGTATTTACAGCCCAACACTGCTGGAAGTCTGTCCAGAGAATGGCACGACAAGGTCAGTTTGTCTAAACCTGCCATATTCACTTGTCTATGCTTAGCAGTTCTCTCTACTTGCTACAAGTTTAGATTTTAATTTCTTTGTTTCTCTTAATTCTACAGGGGGCATGGCCAATGCTTCATCAAACCAGAGCCTCTGGCTCTCAGTGGGTATCCAGGCCCTTCGGGCTGCCTCCAGCTCTCCACCCTGGCATCGCACCCAGGACTGATTTCTGTGCCAGCCTTCCCTCATCACAGGGCCAGGGAAGGAAAGCAGAACAGGAATCTGCAGACTTGAGTTCTAGTCCTGGCCCCGCTGCTAACCACCCTGGGACTCATGTCCAAGTTCTGACCCTTTCTAGGTTTGTTTTCTGAGTTGTAAAAGGGGTGGAATTTCTAACTTGCTGCGTGTGGTGTTATAATAATTAAATAATGTATTGTAAATAGTGCTCTCAGCACTCAATCGCTGAATTAGACAGAAGTCATCCCAGCTGCATTCCTGAGGTCGAGCTCTGAACCAATAAAAGAAGGTACCAGAGGGCCAGCCGAGTGGCGCGATGGTTAAGAGCTGGCTTGGGATGTCAGAGGGCCCCAGTTCGGATCCCGCATATGAGGGCCAGTGACACTGCCCTCTACAGCTAAGATGCTGAACAACAGCTCAACCTGGAGCTGGGCTGCCGTGAGTCACCTGCTGCAGTGGGTTGCCATGGGCTACTGTGTGTAGCCAGCAGCCAGCGTGAGCAGCCAGCAGCCGCCGTGAGCGGCCGTCCAGAAGCCGGCGACTGATCTGCCTCGCCCGGAAAGTGCCACTTGGGCCAGTGAAGCAATGTCCTCCACAACTAGACTGAAGAACAAAAGGACAGCAACTTGTCTGTTCCCCTTCCCCCAATTCCCCAGTGCTGTNATCTTAGCTGTAGAGGGCAGTGTCACTGGCCCTCATATGTGGGATCCGAACCGGGGCCCTCTGGCATCCCAAGCGAGTTCTTAACCATTGCGCCACTCGGCCGGCCCTTTTCTCTGTTTTTTTGTGGCAAAAATGCGTCATGACTTTTCCGACAACCCAATAGATGACAGAGCTCTGGTGAGGCCCACAGGAGATGACGGGTGGGAAAAGTGCTTCGCAAACTGAAAAGCACAGCACCAAGGTGAGAGGTTTATTCAGTTAACAAACATGTGCCGACACCTATTACAGGGCATGCACCACGCTTGACACCGTGGATATAAAGTTAAGGAAAATAGTCCCTGCACTCAATTAGATGATTAGATAGAACAGAGTGGCAAGTGGGAAGAAGGAAAGCTCAGGGTGCCGCGAGCGCTCGGGGTGGCCAACCAGTCTGGGCAGTCAGGAAAGACGACTGTGAGGAGGTGGCATGAAGACAGTACTAGGGCAGGAGGAGTGTATTAGAAGCTAGAAAATACCTTCTCTTTCTTTTATGTAATTCTTGAGTAAATCTACAAAGTGGGCCTAATTTTATTATGATCCCTATTGTATTATAAAGTAGTGGCTCTCAACCTGGAAGCGGGGGAGCGGGGGGGGGGGAGGTGTCACTGGCACCTAGTGGGTAACTCCAGGGATGCTGCTACACATCCTACAATGCACAGAACACAGAACAGCCCCACCACAAGTGACAAATGTGCCGAGGTTGAGAACGCCTGCTGTGAAGAAGACAGAGGCCCTCGGAGGAGAAGCAACTGGTCCAAGAGGCCACGGCAAGTTAGCGGGAGGGCTGGAACCTGGAGGCAGGTCCCCTGTGACCTAGCGCCTCAGACAGGTTCCCCAGGTTATAGCCTGTATGGGTTATAAGGGTCTACACCTGGGCGGCATAAGAAAAGAGCAGGAAGGGCGATGGGCCGGGCAGGAGCTTGACTGATGCTGGCGGAAGAACTCCGGTCCTGCTATGAGCACCACCAACAGACTCAGAGCAGGGAGAGTGAGGACAGGAGAGAAAGGGAGGGAGAAGAAGCAAAGGATGAAGCAGGCAGTGTTCCGACTGAGGTGGAACACCCTGTAACAGATGTACAGCGATCGCATTTAAAGAGGCTTGTTGCTGGGCCGGCCGAGTGGCGCGATGGTTAAGAACTGGCTTGAGATGCCAGAGGGCCCCGGTTCGGATCCCACATATGAGGGCCAGTGACACTGCCCTCTACAGCTAAGAGGCTGAACAACAGCTCAACCTGGAGCTGGGCTGCCGCGAGTCGCTGGCGACGGCGTAGGCTGCAGCCCCTGTGTCAGTGGGTTGCCATGGGCTA